ATGTGAGAAACTGAGAAATGATAAATGAACGTTTCCATTCACCTAGCGCCATAATAGGCAATCGAAAACACTCGATGAAGAAAAGAGAGAGCCCATGTGCCTTAAACATAATATTATGACCCTCTAGCGCATATTGTTTTACAATGCGAAGATAAATTAACAATAATCATTTCAAAAAAGTTACTTACAGAACTTGTTTGGACAGCAAAATAGTATAAAGTAATTTTTGTCTACAATCTTTTTATGATTTAAAATTCGGTAAAAACACATTCAGGTTCTATCCTCTGTGCAGTGTCCAATTTTAACTTTGCTGAGCAATAGATCTATAAATTCTGCATTTTCTAGTATCGTTTTTAAGCAAGTGATTTTTTAATTATAGCATTATATTTTACATACTTGGCTATTTTAAATTCATGCTTTAAATGCTTTCATTAAAACGCGGTTGCTTCGAGTTTAGCGCTTTCAATGACAGATCTCTTTAGCATTGTGGGTGTGTTCTGGCGGCGTCATTGCTTTTTAGGCTGAGGAAAACTTGCCTTTTGAGGAGAACTTAATCAAAAATCCCTACAGTGTCAAAGCTTGGCTCAGATATGTTCAATTTCAGAAATCAGGCTCCCCTCACATCTTGTATCTAACCTATGAAAGGGCTTTGAAACAGCTGCCTGGAAGGTATGTTCTTTTAAACGTCTCATTGTTAGTTATAAATTATGGTATAATTACTTAAAACTTCGGCGTCAACACTCGAGACGAATGTGTCCAGGTAGCTTGATATATGAAGAAACGAATAATGCACATGAACGCGCTCTTGTTACAATGCACAAGGTATTGGACTTTGGGATTTATATATTTTGTTTTAGATGCCTCGTATTTGGACAGATTACTTGCAATTTCTCATGTTCCAAGGTTATGTTACACTAACGCGTCGTACGTTTGATCGAGCCTTGAAAGCCTTGCCCATTACACAACATGAGCGGATATGGCGCATTTACCTCAGATTTGCTGATAAGCATGGGGCTGGCGTAAATGAATCGTGTGCTCGTATTTATCGGCGCTACATTAAGGTAGTTTATTATTGGTATTAAGTAATTTAGCTAGTTTGCCCCTGATGATGTTGAGCGATTTATTAACTTTCTGATCCGAAATGGAAATGTCAATGAAGCCGCTGTCCTCCTGGCGAAGGCAATCAATGAGGAGAACTTTGTTAGTCGCGAAGGGAAATCTAAATTCCAACTGTGGCAGGTCTTGTGTGACCTTCTAGTAAAAAATCCAATGAAAATAACCTCTCTCGATGCTGATGCTATTATCCGCCAGGGAATAAGTCGCTATACAGATCAGGTTTATGACTTTCTTGTTTTACCGCATTTTATTGTCTGTTTCACTCACGAACTTCATGTCCAACAGGTAGGAATTCTCTGGACCTCTCTGGCAGACTTTTACATTAGAAGTGGAAATCTTCCGCGAGCTAGAGATGTTTACGCTGAGGCCATTTCCAGTGTCATCACGGTCCGCGATTTCAGTCAGACATTCGACGCATATGCAGAGTTTGAACAGTCTATCACTAAAGCTCGTATGGAAGCTCTGGAGAAGTGTTCAAGCGTAACTGAAACCGGTAAAGTCGGCTCCAGTCCTTTTACTCACTTGCTTTCATTTCATTTTTGTGTTGTTCGATTTTAGATGAAATGGAGGTTGAGTTATGCCTGGCCAGATTGGAGTCTCTGATGGAACGCCGACCCCTCTTGCTAAATAGTGTCCTTCTTAGACAGAATCCACATAACGTAAATGACTGGCTACAACGAGTCGAACTACTCGAACCTCAGGGTCCACGAAAGCAAATCGAAGCTTTTATGGAGGGTATTAGTTCGGTGGATCCAGGTAGATCCGTTTGTTGCTGTTATGTCTCTGCTCCATAATCCTGGCACATTGTATTTATTAGCTACATGTCTTAAAATAGCCAAAGCAACGGCTGGTCGGCCATCCACTCTGTGGATAGAATTGGCACGTCTCTACGAAAAGCATAATCAGTTGTCAGATGCTCGAATGGTTCTGCAGAAAGCAACTGGCGTAGGATTTATTCATGTTGAGGACTTGGCCTCCATCTGGTGCGAATGGGCTGAAATGGAAATTCGCCATGGGTGAGACATCTTAGTGTTTCGAATTTTTTATGTCACAGTGTTCTCGTTCTTTGATATAATACTTTTGTTGGATGATGCTGTAGCGAGATTGAAGCCGCTCTTCAACTGCTTGCACGGGCCGTAACTCCGACAGCCTCACACAAAGTTGATTACTACGATCGCTCAGAACCGGTTCAGAATCGTCTTCATAAGTCTTTACGACTTTGGACCTTGTACACTGACCTTGAAGAGAGCTTTGGTACCTTTCAAACTACAAAGGTTGGTTCTCTGGTCACTTTGTCTACAAATGTAATGATCTGTCCAGCTATGGGCTGCTGGTTTAACTAGTCTTTGTTTTTAGGCTGCCTACGATCGCATGATCGATTACCGAATCGCTACTCCACAAATAATAATGAATTATGGCCTTTTCCTGGAGGAACACAATTACTTTGAGGAGGCATTTAAGGTGAGACTAAGGCTTATTCTCAAGTTCTCACTCTACTTCAACCACTAATGTTCTTTTGGGGTTGTAGGCTTATGAAAAGGGAGTTGCCATCTTTCGGTGGCCAAATGTTTTTGATATCTGGGCAACGTATCTCACAAACTTTATGGAACGATATGTAAGTAATGGCGACCGCTATTTTGCCGTAATTACGTTAGAGCCTTAACATACTTCTGCTTTTATTGATGCTATACTATCTACTGTATTTCCTACACCATGTTTTTTAGCATCGTTCATCAATTGAATGCTAAACGAGTATTCCTTTCCCTTTAATAAAGAATTTTATATACTCTTAGGGTGGAAGTAAATTGGAGCGTGCTCGAGATCTTTTTGAGCAATGTCTTGAAAGGTGCCCTTCAAAGTTTGCCAAGCGTGAGTTTTTAAGTGCTTCAACCGGTCAGCGGAAGTTTACGTTGAATGCTGTCACTTTTCAGCAGCTACTTTATTAAATTTTCTGTGCGGTATCCATATGATCCCCTATCTTCACTCCGTCGCCATCTGAG